ATTCCATTCCATTCTATTCTGTATTCTATTATTTCTAATTCTATTCCATTCCAAGATTCTAGTCGATTCTATTCTACTCTTCTTCCAATATTTATTCTATTCTATTCTATTCTATTCTATTCTACTCTACTCTAATTCTAATTAATTCTACTATATTTCCATAGGGATCATATAGAATTCACTATCCTCTCACCCAATGAATACCTCCTTTCCAGTTTTTGTAAGAGATATCCTATCTTAACCTCTTATCATGTAAAAAAACAAGAAAAAAAATGTAAAAAGCAAGGAAACAGTCAAGGAAACAATTGGTCCATTAATGGGAGAAACTGGCAAGAAGGTGACAAGCAACAGGAAGAAAGCAGAACAGCTTAACTCATCTCTCAGAGAGCCTCCAGAGCCTGTGGAGGCCATTTTTGTCCTCCCGGAGTCTCGAGGAAAGCCTCTGGAGCCCAAGGAGGGCAGAAACACGCCCCCTCCACCGTGGAGCAGGAGGCCAACTAGGCCACGCCCACCATGGCCACACCCACCCAGCCACTGGGCAGAAAACCCATTGCTAAAGTTTTTGAAGCCCAGCCCTGATGTCATCCCCTTTTGCAAACATCTGACAAGCAGAGTCAATGGGGAATCCAGATTCACTTAACAACCATCTTACTACTTTAACAACGGCAGTGGGTTCATTTCACAATGGCCGCAAAATGGGGCAAAACTCACTTAGCCACGGCTCCGATGAGCAACAGAAATGTTCGGCTCAGTTACAGTTGTCATAAATCAACAACTACCTACCTGTAGTGATTTCCCGTTCACACAACCTACTTAAAATGATGGTTGGGTTCCCACCACCACCAGAACTGGTCATAAAGTGACTTTAGTCCATGTCAAATAGTCCTTAAAGAAACGGTCGCATGTCGAGAAAGGCATATGGGAAAGGCAAGAAAACAGACGCAGGAAAGATGGACAATGAATTGGTAGGAGAATGAAGGAGAATGAAGACCCCTCCCTCTGTCAAGAACCTAGGAGTCCTCATCTCAAAAGATCTAAGCCCCAGAGCTCACTGTAACAGCATTGCCAAAAAGGGCATTAAGTGTCGTTAACCTAATTTTTTTAACATTGAACTGCAACCAGGGCATACAAAACCTTTGCCAGACCAATTCTCAAATACAGCTCATTTGCCTGGAATCCACACTGTATAACGGACATTAAGCGAGTCCAGAGGTATTTCACGAGAAGAGTCCTCCACTCCTCCGCTTGCAATAGAATACCTGATGCCTGGTTAAAACTCTTCGCACAGACACAAATTCAAAAGCAATATTTACTTTATATGTCAATCCATATCTTATTACCACTTTCAATTTTCTGTATAAGCAGCTTTCAGAAATGAAGTTTTTTATGTTCTATGTTATGTATGTTTTCTCTATTGTTTTTTTTAAAAGGCAAAAATTTTGATTAGTAAGAAATATAATCTGGACAACAGAATGAAAAGGAGAAATTGGGATAGGATATGAAGATGAGCAGATAATGTAAATACACATATTACATTTGGCACGTTTTATTGGTTCTTCCAGAAAGATTCTTTATGTTAATATGCCTTGACTGTTTGTATGTTTTGTAAAGCTAACAAAATTTGTTTTTTTTAAAAAAAACAAAAATAAAAATAAGTCAGAGGAAAATATAAGTGTGATGATTGAATAGCAGATAAACTAGAAAAGAAACGTTATTGAATAAGAGTAAAAGAGAAATAATGTGGAATCTGTTAAAGGGAATTTATGTGCCTACATCGAAATGAGATAAATCAGAAAAATGCGATATAAAATAATGTGTTATCTGCTTTGTAAAGATCTATGATGGAAAGCAGTTTTATGTTTTTAGTGTTTAATGATGTTTTGTCTTGTTTCTTGTTAAAATCAATAAAATTTGTTTAAAAAAAAAAAGAATACCTGATGCCTTCACCAGGCTGGAAATTTTGGACCTGACAACTTAAAGAGTTCCGCCGCCTACGGTCTGATCTAAGCTTGAGTACACAAAATGTACTGCTACAATATCCTACCTGTCAACGACTATTTTTTTATTGGCCAAGTGTTATTGGACACACAAGGAATTTGTCTTGGTGCAAATGTTTTATGCGTTGACAATATGTTTATATGTGATGTTCATCCTTATACTTGTTCTCTCATACGTTCTTGACCAACCAAACTAAATAAACTAAATAAAGAAATATTTACATTTTGTTTTGCTCCTTGGGAGGCACGGCAGCGGGTGATTAAAGGGAAAACACGAGGCGCAGGAAGCAGGCGTCAATAAATCTCAGCATATTTCAGATTGCCCTTGGAGATAGCGCCAGATAGGCAACTGGAAACGCCAAAATAATTATTTCCTTCCAAGTCAACAAGTTTGGGAGAAACCAGAAGCGAGCCTGAGGAATGATCAGACAGGACAAAGCAGTTCTCTCGGGTGAATTGCCCAGATTTTCCAGTTATGTCACTGGTAACATAGAGGATTCAGGACAGTAAAAGAAAGCTGGTTTTGGCTCCTGTAGAAGAAAGGACTTCTTTAAAGTTTCTGTAGTGTTTGTTTCACTAACTGTCGTTCATTTCTCCATCGGCTTGTTTCACGCACAAATGGTGGAGGCCCATGGCTTTCCTTTTTATTACAGGAGTTTGTCTGAAATGGAATAGGGTCTCCTGCCTGAGCAGGAGGTTGGACTAAGATAACAGATAATCAGAGTTGGAAGGGACCTTGTAGATCATCTAGTCCAACCCCCAGCCCAAGCAGGAGACCTACCCCATTTCTGACAGATAGGAGTCCAATCTCTTCTTGAAAATCTCAACTGATGACACTCCCACAACTTCCGAGGGCAACTTCTGTTCCATCGGTTGATCGTTCTCCCTATAAGAAAGTTTCTCCTTATTTCCAGGTTAAATTTCTCCTTGATCGGTTTCCATCCATTACTCCATGTCTGGCTTTCATGTGCTTTGGAAAATAGTTTCACCCCCTTCCTCCTCTCTGTGGCAGCCCCTCAAATATTGGAAGACCGCTATCCTGTCTCCCCTGGTCCATCTCTTCACTAGACTAGCCAGGCCCAGATCCTGCAACTGTTCTTCATTGGTTTTAGCCTCCAGTGCCTTAATCCTTCTGGTTGCTCTTCTCTGCACTTTTTCTAGAGTCTTAACATCTTTTTCATAATGTGGTGAACAAAACTGGATGCAGTACTTTAGGTGTGGTCTTACTAAGGCTTTAGTGAATGGCATTTGTACTTCCCTTGATCTTGATTGTATCCTTCTGTTAATTCAACTTAGGATTGCATTAGCTTTTTTGGCTGCCGCTGCATACTGCTGGCTCATATTTAGCTGGTTGTCCACTAAGACTCCAAGATCCTTCTCATAGTTCCTGCTATTGAGCTTGGTTTCATCTAGTCTATATATGTCCTTTGAGGTTTTCTTCCCTAAGTGTAGGACTTTATTTTTCTCTACATTGAATTTCATTTTGTTAGATATGGCCCAGTGTTTGAGTCTGTCAAGATCCATCTGGATCTTGAGCCTATCTTCTTGGGTGTTGGCTATTCCTGCCAGCTTAGTATCATCTGCATATTTGCTAAGTTCCCCTTCTATTCCCTCATCTAAGTCGTTAATGAAGATATTGAAGAGTCCTGGGCCTAAGACGGAACCTTGTGGCACCCTACTGCTTACTTCCCTCCATGGAGACTTAGACCCCTTAAGGACTAGAAGATCTACAAGGTCCCTTCAAACTCTGTTCTGATTGATTGATTGATTGAATGAATGAAAGACTGATTGATGGAAGTTGTGAATGTGCCAACACTGGAGGTTTTTAAGAAGAGACTGGGCAGCCATTTGTCGGAAATATTATAGGGTTTCCTTCCTCAGCAGCGGGTTGGACTACAAGACCTCTAAGGTCCCTTCCAACTCTGTTATTCTGCCATCTGTCTTCGAATTACAATCATTCGTTTCATGACCAAAATTACAGAGACCCTGGAAAAAAAGTGACTTACGACCATTTGTCGCACCTACGACCGCTGCAGCATCCCCCACGCGAACGGAATTCAGCGGCTTAGCAACTGCTTCATATTTACGACGGTCTCAGCAGTCCCGGTGTGTGTGTGTGTGTGTGTGTGTGTGTGTGTGTGTGTGTGTGTGTCAGATGATCCCCTCTTGCGACCTTCTGACAAGCCAAGTCCATGGGAGCGGAGCCAGATTTGCTTAACGACTGTGTGACTAGCTTAACAACTGCGGGGATTTGATTAAGAATTGTGGCAAGAACAGGTCCTAAAATCTGGGGCAAAGTTCCCTCCACGAGTGTCTTGGTGAGCAATGGGAATTTGAGGGTCAGTTTTGGTCGAGGAACTACCTGGAGCTGCTTCATTA